GGTGGAAGGTGTCCCTGCCCATGGCAGGGGGTGGCACTGGATGGGCTGTAAAGTCCCTCCCATGATCCATATGGATCCATATTCCACGTCTGTAGTTTTGTCTCAGAGTCTGAAATGCCTCTGGTTTGTCAGGGATGTTCAGAAAGCCCTCAGTGATCAGGGCAGGGTCTGTGCAGTTTGTGGTGTCCCCAGAACGTTGCTCAGCACTGACTGTGCACAGTGGGAAGGGCTTTACCAGGATAAATGTGAGTCACTTTGGGGATTGGAAGTTGGCTTAATTATATCAAGATTATATCTCTTGGAGCTGCCAAACCAAACGTGTCTCCTTTAAATCACAGAAAGGAAGGGCTGGTTTTTGTGTAGTTCAGTGTTTTTGGAGTTGGATTGATTCTGTCCCAGTGAGAAGAGTTGTTCCATAAGTCATCCAGGATTTCCCAGGTTGTTTCTGAGGTACCAGAGAGGGGCTGAGGAGGGAAGGCCCCTCTGGAGAGCTCCACAGGGTCACCCAGAGCTGGTTCCCCAGGACTGTGTGTTGTGTGAACACCTGCAGGGATGGAGGGACTCCAGGAGTCGTTCTGAGCAGGATGCAAAGTGTGTTCAGGGCCAGGGAAGAACTTCAGTTGTGTTCACTGGGGAGAAGAAACAACCCAGGCCAGGGCTTGGAGCAGCCTGGACAAGGGCACAGACACATCCCTGCTCTGAGGAGGGACAAACAGAGTCCAGATGGAGCTGTTTGAAAACAAGGAAGGGCCAGATGGCTGAGCCCAGATACTGCACAAACAAAAAATAACGTTGGAATTGAGTGATTTTGGTGTTTAAAGTAACATCACAAGTTCTGGAACTGGGTGCAGGAGGACAGACATTCTGATCTTATGCACATCTTATTACCTGTGTTTGTAATGTAGTCAAACTCTTTATTTATTCATTTTTATTCCACTTCTTAGTGTAGAATTTCTAATTGTTGACATTAGCCAGAAATATGTTCTCCATCAGTCTGTGCTGTAACATAATCCTGAAGGACATTTGTTGTTAGTCTTTAACAAGTGACTGGAAATGAATTATGGAGGTTGGCAATATTAAACCCAAATAGAATGGTGCTGAAGGAGCTGTGAATCAGTTAATTAACTTTGCTTTCCTCTTCCCATATTTAAAGTTCCCTGTGACCTTCTCTCTCTGCAGCAAGACCTTCCTTACCCTTGGTATCAGTTGATGTGCTGAGTTGGTTTCTTTTTTCCCTGTGTTAGAAAGGCACTGTGTTATATTATCTACCAATTTGGAGACTGGAAAAGTTAAAGTCGTGTCAAGGATTCTGGATTAGACACTAAGTCTCAAAGTTTTTAGGTCGTGTGGTGATTTTCTTTTGTGATTCTGTTGAAGGTGGGTTGTTTTTAAAATACATCTCAATAAAGCATCCATAGAGTTTATCATGGAATGGTTTGGGTTGGGGGGGGACCTTAAAATCACCTCAATCCAAGGGCAGGGAACCTTCCACCGGAAGGTTCTGCGTGAAATACTTAACCCTGTAAAAAAAACCGCTCCTGAGGGTTGTCCGTGTCCAGATGTCACTGATTCATGTTTGGCTGCCTTCCAGGTACCTGGGACAGGGCTGTTCATGGAAAAATCCCCGTGTAAGTCCCAAAGAAGCAGGGCAGTGTGAGCAGGGAGGCCATGGCGGGGTTCCTGGACAATTTCCGCTGGCCGGAGTGCGAGTGCATCGACTGGAGCGAGCGCAGGAACGCCGTGGCCTCCATCGTGGCAGGGGTGCTGGTGAGCTGGGGATGACACAGGGATGGGGGGCACCTGGGGCAGCACCACGGGGAGCTGGGGCTGGGACAGGGCTGGGGGCACCTGGGGCAGCACCACGGGGAGCTGCAGTTTGGCTGCACCCTTTGGGGAGGGTTCCCCCCTGAGCTGCCCCTCGGGAGCGGCCGCGGAGACGGGGAAGGGGCTCGGTTTGGAGCCGTGGGAGGACACTGAGGGCACTTGGGGTGTTCAGCTGGAGAAGAAGAGACTGAGGGGAGACCTCACTGCAGTTCCAACTGCCTGGGCAGGGGCAGAGGAGGGGCAGGGACTGAGCTCTGCTCTGGGGGGACCAGGGACAGCACCCAGGGAATGGCTGGAGCTGGGACAGGGCAGGGTCAGGGTGGATCTCAGGAAAAGGTTCTTCCCCCAGAGGCTGGTTGGGCACTGCCCAGGCTCCCCAGGGCAGTGGGCACGGCCCCAAGGCTGCCAGAGCTCCAGGAGGGTTTGGATGATCCTCTGGGGCACAGGGGGTGACTCTTGGGGATGGGCCTGTGCAGGGCCAGGAGTTGGACTGGATGATCCTGGTGGGTCCCTTCCAGCTCAACCTGTTCTGGGATTCTGTGAAGTGCCATTCTGGGATTCTTTAAAGTCTTGTGGGATTGTCAGCAGCGTTTTTATGAGTCCTGTGACGTTGCTGATGATGAACCATTTCTGCCCCCCTTTAAAAAAAAATTCCTCATGGATTTTCTGCATCATTAGATCAGTTAGAACACCTCTGTTCTGCATCATCTGCACCTCATCTGGGAATTTCATAGAATTAAGGGAAGGTTTGGGTTGGGAGGGACCTCAAAGCCCATCCAGTTCCACCCCCTGCCATGGGCAGGGACACCTTCCACCAGCCCAGGTTGCTCCAAGCCCCATCCAACCCGGCCTTGGACACTTCCAGGGATCCAGGGGCAGCCACAGCTTCTCTGGGCATGAATTTATCCATACCCTGATATTTAAATTGATTAGAAATGTGACCAATTCCCAAACACTCCTCCAAAACCGGGAACATTGAGGTTTGTGCAGGACTTGTCCATCAAGCACATTTAGAGTCCAACTCAGTGTCTTTCCAGTGCTTGTTAAAAGCCAATGAACCCAGTGATGCCCCTGAGCCCTGGCCCTGGTTTCCCTGCCCCTGTGCCCTGCCAGGTCCCTCACAGGGGTGTGTTTTGCTCCCAGTTTTTCACAGGCTGGTGGATCATGATCGACGCCGCCGTGGTCTATCCAAAACCAGAGCAGCTCAACCACGCCTTCCACACCTGTGGGGTCTTCTCCACACTGGCCTTCTTCATGTGAGTGGGGCCAGGGGGGTTCTGAGCCACTCAGCTCGAGCTGCCCAACCCAGGGGTTACAGGACAAATGTCCAGCATGGACAAATCATAGGATCATGGAATGGTTTGGGTTGGGAGGGACCTCAAAGCCCATCCAGTGCCACCCCTGCCATGGGCAGGGACACCTCCCACCAGCCCAGGTTGCCCCAAGTTTATCCAACCTGGCCTTGGACACTTCCAGGGATGGGGAGTCCAATACTTAACTTAATACCTCAATATAAAACATTTGGCTGCATTTCCCCCCCTATTTTGAAACAATTTTTATGCCTGTTCCTTGCCCAAAACTTCCTCAAGTGGGAGAGGTGATGGGCTGGCTCCTGTCATGGAGATGTAAATCTGGAAGCTTGAAGGAGAAGTAACAATTTTTATGGAATCACCCAATATTGGCAAGAAAAAAGGAGGAATTTGGGTTTGTGACTATACAAATGCCAAGAGACTTTTTTCCAGAATCGATAACTTATAACTTTAAATTGATTTTCTGATAATCTGAAGTGTATCTGCTGTTTTTGTTCCTAGGATAAATGCTGTATCCAATGCACAGGTGAGAGGAGACAGCTACAGTGATGGATGCTTAGGAAGAACAGGTAAATTAACTCTAAAAGTCCCACTGAGTTGAAGGACTGGTTATTTCTGTGTTGGGGTTTTTTCCAACTCGTGGTGAAAGAAATAATCTGAAGACAAGGAGTAGGAGAGAGTTCTGTGAATTAATTTCTTTGCAGAATTAACCCTTGGAGATAAGGTCTGTCTTTATTAAAAAGGTGAACCTAGAAAAATTCAAGTGCTGGATATCTTGGCTTCTTAAACTTTCCTCTGCAAATCCTGGGTGGCTGCTGGGAGAACTGAATTCCTGCCCTGGGGTGGGCTCTGGAGCAGACATTCCTTAGGAATGTGTCCCAGACATCCCACTCCCTCTCATGGTGTCCATGGGCCTGCTGTCCTCTCTGCTTCCCTTCATAATTCCTGTCCTGTTTCCCATGTGGATCCCAGCAGCCTTTTCCATGGGATTTGCAAATGCCTCAGTGGAAATCTGGTGGGATTTACTGATGGTTGAACTGGCCTGTGATGCTCTTTTGTGTGTCATTCGTGAACCAGCTCAAGAGAAAAAGAGAATATTTGAGTGAGTGAGTGAGTGAGCAGGTGGGTTGTTTTGTCCCTGATCCAGGATTTAACCATCATCCCAGAGCAGCTGGATTGTCTGTCCCCAGGGATAACAGGGATAACAACCCCCCTGTTCTCAGAGGTTTTGATCTTCCTGCAGGTGCTCGAATCTGGCTCTTCATTGGCTTCATGCTGATGTTTGGCTCCCTCATTGCTTCCATGTGGATCCTCTTTGGAGCATATGTCACACAGAGTAAGTTTGGGTCTTTTCACCTCTAGAAAAGTGCTTTTCCTGCCACCCAAAGGGTGGAGGGGTGTGTGGTGTCCGACAAAATCCAAGCCACAGCACCCAGGTTTGAGTCAGAGACCCTGAGCTGTGTGTTGGACACCCCTCCCAGTGCTGAAGAACTCAAATGTTTTCCCTTTGTTCCTTCCTTTGCAGACACTAATGTGTACCCTGGCTTAGCAGTGTTTTTCCAAAATGCATTAATATTTTTCAGGTAAGTCACCTGGGCCAAACTTCCCTCCTTCCAGAGGGACTCACCTGCTTCCATACATTGAGACTCCTGGAAAACGAGTTCTTTTTTCTGCTCTCTTTGCCCCAGAGCTTAAAAACAAGGTTTGATTTGCCCCTTCCCAGCCCATGAGAGGCTCTTGCTTCCCCTCAGGCTCCTGTCAGTGCAGCTCTCTCTGCTCTCCCTGAATTTACAGCTCTGGAATGTGGATCCAGCCAGTTTTCTGGCTGAGATGTTGCCAGTGCCTTTGGATGATGGCAATCATGCTTTTAGCTCTGTGCTGCAAATACCTTGGCATCTGTCCCAGCAGAACCAGGGGGAGATTCAATTGCCCCTTTCCAGACTATTTCACACCGATGGCTCAATTATCTGAGAGTTGATATTACCTGTATTTCCTTCCAGTGGCTGAGCTTGCAGTCATAAAGAGTGATAATTCCATTTTCTAAGAGCTTGATGCTGTGTTTGTGACAGCACACTGGATTTATTTCAGCTCATATTGTTGGGTTTCTCATGTAACACTTTGAACTGAGTTGGTATCTGTAATAACTCCTTAGATGTAGAATGCATTCTGCAATCCAGGGATTTTTTTAGTAAAAGACACTGAAAGCATTAAATAGTGTCAGTTCCAAGATCAGTCACTGAAAAATTTCACCTCAGCTCCTTTTTTTAAGTTCCTGTGATGACCCTTTTCCTTCCAGTCCCACATCAAATGCTTTGCAGGAATGAGATCAGTGGGCTCTGGAGCAATGCCCTGGCTGGGAAATTAGGGATGCTCCTGTAGGAAACAGCACTTCCTAAATCTCCTCTGGGATTGAAGTGGGAAATTGCTGAAGGCAGATTTTGAGAATAGTTTCACTGTGCCTGAAATCTTTAGTCTTATTTAGAATCCCAGACTGGGTTGGGTTGGGAGGGACTTTGAGGATCATCCAGTGCCACCCCCTGCCATGGGCAGGGACACCTTCCACCAGCCCAGGTTGCTCCAAGCCCCATCCAACCTGGCCTTGGACACTTCCAGGGATGGAGCTTTTGTAATTTGGATCTGCCTTTTCCACCACAGGATCCATTTTCTTTTGGATTGGCTCACAAAAATGGAACTGCTTAGATTTTATCCCTCAGCTTGGTTCCAGGTGCCAGGGTGAGACTTGCTGCTGTGGAACTCTGGGGATCAGTCCTAGAATTCCATAAATACCAGTTTTTCCCTTCAGAAGGACTGTGAAACTGGTTATTTTTTATTTGAGCTTCAGCACAGGAAACAAAATACAGGAACCAAGCCCAGCCACTGGCTGGAATGCAGGTGCAGGGCTGTGGATTTACAGGATGAGATTCAAGAACACTTAAAATTACCTTATGTATGGTCTGATTATTTATTTTTTTTCCCCTCAGTACTCTGATCTACAAGTTTGGAAGGACAGAAGAGCTGTGGGGCTGAGCTGCCCCTGGGCTGGTCCATAGTTACCACGTGGTTCTCTGTCTGTAGATAATTTACAGTTCTTTGTTCTTGGTTTGCTCTCCAAACCCTGGACTGAGACGAATCCCAGGCTCTGTCAGAAGCTCCTCTTCTCCCAGGACACACTTGTGAATATGTACATAGGACTGGATCTCTTCCAAAGGGAATGGCAGCTTTCCTGCTGGAATCTTCAGGCTTCCTCCTTCCAATCCAAGGCTTTCCATCATTTCATCCTCCAAACCTCCACCCCTGTCTGAGGCTTCAGTGAACTGTCAGTGAGCAAACAGGACAAAGCCCATCCCTGGAGCAGGACGAGGCCCATCCCTGGAGCAGGGGCTGTGCTGGGATAAGAGCTGATTTTAAGATTTTATATTATTGTTCAGGTGAATATATAAAGTAGCTTTTTTTTTTTTTTTTTTTGTCAAAGGTTATGGTTTTTAAGCAGGTCCCTACACTCGGCAGGTTCTGCATGGCTCAAACTACTCCTGACCTGTGATGGCTCTGGCACAAAGGACATTTGCTGGCACCACAGTCCTTGGAATTAATTTCATGCTGCTCAGTGTAAGAGATACCAATTGGTATTTAATGTATTTCCTGATATTAGAATAAAAAACTCCAACAAACTGCTGCCAGTCCTACTTCAGGAACATAAAGAATAACTGAGAGTCAGACCAACAGCTTTCAAATGATTCTATGAAATCACACAGGTGTTGTTTTCTCCAGGGGAAGCTTTTTGCTCATAAATGAACAGTTTTCCTGCACTTTTCCCCTTCTGTACCTAAAAGGTGAATGTTCAGGTGAATGAATTCACCTAAAAGGTGAATGGGGATATGGATTTGTTTGTTGTTCACAGTCTGACCTTGAAATAACTGCCAGCTTTAGGGCTGCCTTTTGCCCCAGTTAAAATGTGCCAACTTTAGGGCTGCCTTTTGCCCCAGTTAAAATGTGTTTTATCTCACGTTTCCATGATTGAAATCGAGTTTCTTCTGTCTGGAGCGCACAGAAGGGAGGAAGAGGATGTTTTATAGCCTTGGGCTGATCTTGTACATTCATTTGCTGTTGGTGACTCCTTCCCTCACGAGTTCTCTGTGGCTTTCAAGGCACTTGACTCTCCCCTGTGTCTCAAAGCTTTTATAACTTTCCCTGCATCAAGTTCTGCCCCAGTGGTGCCAAACTGCTGAGTGTGAGTGCTGTGCTTGGTGTCTGGAGCTGCCAGGGCTACACCTGCTCCCTGTGGGAATCTCTCCAGCACCAGGACCTGCAGCAAACCCTGGAGCTGCTGGAGGGACACGAGGGGGTCACTGGGGTCACTCCCAGCTCGTGCAGGACGTGGCTGGGGGTTGGAATGTCAGAAAACTGCACTAAAGGTGAGCTTTGTGTTCTCCCACCAGTGGGTTCACAGGTGGCTGTGCAGGAACCAGGGAGGACTGGCCTGTACACAAGGTTTACACCAGGGAGGAGGCGCAACCAGGCTTTGGTTTGCAGCTTTGTCGGGTTTCTCGTGCAGGAGCTCAGGAATGTTTGTTGGGTTTTTACAAGGTGAGAAATGAGTGTGGCCTGAAACTAATCCCAGTGACTGGATCTTGTACCTGAAACTGGAGCTTCAACAAGGCAAGACAGGCTGGGAGAGCTGGAGGTGTTCACCTGGGGAAGGGAAGGCAGGGACAGATGGGATACTGGGAAGGAATTCCTGGCTGGGAGGGTGGGGAGGCCCTGGCCCAGGTTGCCCAGAGAAGCTGTGGCTGCCCCTGGATCCCTGGAAGTGTCCAAGGCCAGGTTGGACGGGGCTTGGAGCAACCTGGGCTGGTGGAAGGTGTCCCTGCCCATGGCAGGGGGTGGCACTGGGTGGGTTTTGAGGTCCCTTCCCACCCAAACCAGTCTGGGATTCTTTGTGTCTTCTGCACCCCAAGCAAATGGTTTTCAACTTTGGCCTATTTGTGTCAAACAGGGCCTGTTTGTGTAATAATATTTAATGACTCAGATCCCTGACAGACCCTTCCCTGACAGAAGGCCAGTGTAGGGTTTATTTAGGAATATATATATATGTATGAAACATGACTCAGGCTTCACAGAACTCCCTTGTGCCAGCAGGTTGCCTAATCCCAGGGGATTAGATTAGTTCCACAAGGCAAACTAACCTCATTTAGCTTTTGGCTGCTGCTGGCCTGGAGTGTCCCTGGAAAGGCTGGAACGGCCTCACCTCAGTTCCCCCCCAGCTCTGACAGGGCCCAGGCCACTCCTGTGAGTCATCTGCAAACAGACAAGCCTGTTTCTTTTCTTTCTTTTACACTGTTTGTATCAAACCCAGGGAAAGTCATCAATTAAACCCCATCTTTTTAGTACAGAAGTGGTTCACTTGTTCTTTGTGCTTTACTGGACACCTTCCAGACCCCACAGGAGGCTGAACGGGGGCTCTTCTGCTTCAGGGCACTCAAAACATCTCTCTGAGCCAACTTTCCATTTGCTGGTGCTGAACAAGAGGTTTTAGTGTCTGATAATGACTGATACATGGTTTAAATGTTATTTTGGAGTCAGTTTGGCTGTGCAGGACACTGGTGTGGCTGTGAGGAAGCAGATGGGAGGAGGCCTCTCTGGGAGGAGTTTGTGGCCCAGCTTCATCCTGGGCAGAGGGAAAGGACTAACAAATTTCTTTTTAGTTTGCCACATGCTGAAAATGATTCAGAGAAGCAGAGTGGGGTGGGTATAACAAGATTATTATTGCCAACAAAAGAAAATCAGCTATAAAAGGAATTTACATTGCAATGATTGACTCCCTGAAAAATCCCATGTTCTCCTACACCCTCCTGTAAAGTGCTGCAATTCCTCAAAGCTTTATTCCAACCTGGGGTGGGAATTTAACCTTTTTCTGAGTTTAGTGTTCGTTTCCCTCTCGTGTTCCTCCTTTTCAGTGGTGCTGGGGGAGCTCAGGAGAAGCCCCTGAGACACATCCCAGGGTCCATATTTTCTTAGGATTGTCCCGGCAGCAGCCACACCAGGGGAGCAGCTGCTGGAAACCCTGGGCCAGGTGACACTCCTGGGGTGGCTCTGCTGTGGTTTCCCTGTCCCTGGGGGGGTTGGATGAAGAGTTGTCACCCCGGGCTGCTGCTCCAGGCTTGGATTCCTTCTTCAGCTACCAGAGCCTGGGGCTCATCCTCGGTGGGATTGTCCAGCTCCTCCAAGCCAGGCAGGCCAGGGTCCCTGAGGAACTGCAAAAATCCAGAAAACAACAGCTCAGATCCCTCTCCATGTGTAAGAAACTCCAGAGACAACAAGTTGCTTCGTGCCAGAATCCACAGCTGCAGGAATATTCCATCCTGGGCTTCCTTGAAACTACACTGAACGAGTCAAAAATACCTTATTTCTGTGGGGGGGGAAATAAAACCAATCACACAAACATCCCTTGGAGTGAGTTAAAGCAGCTGCAGGTCCTGGTTGGGTGGTTTGGGGGCTTTTTTAATAAAATTTGGCCACTCTTTTCATGGTTCAATCCCTCTAAGAACCTCCACCTGCAGGAATCCAGGGAGTGCCTGATGGAGAAATGAGATCCAAGGCCCTGGTTTGCTCCAGGTCAGGCAGAGCTGAACCTTCTCCTGCCCCCACAAATCCCTGGTGACATCCCTCTCCTGCTTCGACTCCTCTCTGCTCCCCTTCCCTCCCACATCGAGCTTCCCAAGGCTAATAATCAAATAAAAGACAATAATCAAATAAAAGACAATAACCAAATAAAAGATCATAACCAAAGCACGGAGCATCAGAGAAGTGGCACAAAATGAATGTGGATTTCGATATTTTCCTTAATTTCTTTTTTTTCCCCCTATTTTAATACCCTGTACAGGGATATTTTACTACTTAATACACTTACAAGGATTTTATTTACTATTTGAATATATTGTACAAGGATTTTATTTACTATTTTAGTATATTGTACAAGGATTTTATTTACTATTTTAATACACTTGCAAGGATTTTTTTTACTATATTCATAATGTGTACAAGGATACTATTTGATACATTTACAGGGATTCTTTCTTTACTATTTTAACACCCTGCACATTTCATTTTTTACTCTTTTAATATCCTGTACAATTATTTTTTTACCATTTTAATACACTTAAATGGACTTTATTTACTATTTAAATACACTTACAAGGATTCTATTTACTATTTTAATAAATTGGGCAAGGATTTTTTTACTATTTAAATACCCTGCACAAGGATATTTTTACTATTTTATTACACCTACAAGGATTTTTTACTGTTTTAATACCCTATACAAGGATATTTTTACTATTTTAATACTTAAAATTAGCTTTTTACTATTCTATTACTCTCTACAGAGATTTTTTTCTATTTTAATACCCCATACAAAGATTTTTTTTCACTCTTTTAGTACCCTGTGCAAGGATTTTTTTATTATTTTAATACACTTACAAGGATTTTAAAAATTATTTTAATACCCTGTACAAGGATTTTTTTATTATTTTAATACCCTGTACAAGGGGTTTTTTACTATTTTAATACACAAAGATTTTATTTCCTATTTTAACACTGCACAAGGGTATTTTTACTATTTTAATAAACTTACAAGGCTTTTTTTCCTATTTTATTACCCTCTACTTAAGGACTTTTTACTGTTTTAATACCCCGTACAAAGATTTGTTCACTATTTTAATACACTTACAAGGATTTTGTCATTATTTTAATACACTTATAAGGATTTTGTTATTATTTTAATACACTTTAAAGGATTTTATTTGCTGTCTTAATACCCTGTAGTAGGATTTTTTAACTATTTTATTACACTTACAAGGATTTTATTTACTATATTAATACCCTGTACAAGGATATTTTTACTATTTTAATACACTTATATGGATTTTATTTACTGTCTTAATACCCTGTACAAGGGTTTTTTTCACTATTTGAAATCATTGTGCA